CTAACTTAACAGACACTGTGAAACTGAAGGCAGAAAGTCTGTTTGAATCCATAATGATCCCCTACTTGACAAATGTGTACCTTATATTCTCTCTGGAACGAAATCAGAGCGCATGTAAATTTAGGCCAGCTTGGGACGGCCGCAATGTGCCACAAGAGTACGGTAGCTGGTCCCGCAACGAAGCTACTACTGTAGTTTTTCGAAAAATTCCGGTCCTACACTTAGTGGCTTATTAGCGCCAATGGCACGATCGTCGCGAATCTCCTCCCATCAATTGTCACGAGTTATTGCCGCTTGATTCGTATTACTTCAACCACAATTGACTTACTCACATAAGTGACCCCGTAGAAACTTCCACTTCTTAAAAATCCTCGGAAGGACAAGTGTAGAAGGCAAGCGAGGCGGCCTTCTTATTTTAAACGTCAGGTTGTGTGTGTCGTGTGTAGCAAACATTTTTCCACGCCTATCCGCTTTACCGTACAGGGATCGTTGTGATTTTCGAAGTCATGTGGACTTCATCTCTTTTTTTTACTGTAGCATAGAGCATTGTTGTCTTCATCCCCAGTATATATTGGTTACATTACATACATGCTTTCCTTATTTAGAATATGGCTCCACTTCCGCTTATGGACTTAACGAAGCGATCATTTTTCTCCGTTCGGGAAGGAAGCGTTATAGAGACACTGCAGTCGTTGGATGCAGAAACTTTCTACTGTACCGTAGATGGTGAAATAGTCACAGATTTCCTAGGACGCCTCAACGATTTACCAGAGGATGCCTTTTTTCAACTGCATTTTCGTGTTCTTGGAGGGAAAGGAGGTTTGTTCATCAGCTAGCATTATAATATGTGAATGTGTGTTAAAAATGGAACCTCCAGAAGTTTCTATTGAGAAAGCTACAAAAGGTCATAAAAAATTTCCTGAAAACGGTTTCTGCTGGAATCTTAGGTTTTCACCTACAAAGCCGTACCGGTATAATTTAATTTAACATGCCTCGTTTGGGAATTTTGAATTTTTCGGAATAAAGGTTTTTGGAGACTCTATTCCTTAATGCACATTTAGGGTCACCGTGGTTCTTTAAAAAGCTTATGTTGGTAATAGCATTGTGATTCTTCAGGATTTGGTTCTCTTCTTCGTTCATTTCGCGTTAACAAAAGTACGAATCAGCTGATGTGTCGTGACCTAAATGGCAGACGTCTCGCATCAATCGATGAGGAACAGCGTCTGAAAAAATGGATTGAGAGGGCTGCAGAACGTGAAAAAGAGAAACTAGCGAAAAGGTATAGTTTTGTAATTGTACCATACTGGACCATTTTGCATACGGTTTTATTTGCTACGGATGCCTGGGCGTGTCTGGCGGACTGGGATCGGCGCGGCGCTAGACGTTCTTCTACAGTTGTTAAAGCGGGTAGGCGACAATAATACATGTTCATCGAATCGTGTAATCCTAATTGTGCATTAAAAGTTTTAAAAGTTTTGGTTCTTGTTAATATCACTCTTAAGCATTTTCTTCCATTTTTTATAAGGCCGCGTTCATAGCTTGCGACCGTGAAGAAATGCAGAAATGCGGAAACTGCAGAAGTGCGGAATCTGCAGAAATGACGAAAAGCATTACATACGTATCGATCTGAAGAAATGCAGAAATGCCGAAAGTGAAGAAGTGCGGAATCTGCAGAAATGCAGAAAGTGCGGAAAATCGATACGTATCGGTTGCTTTTCGTCATTTCTGCAGATTCCGCACTTCTGCAGTTTCGGCATTTCTGCATTTCTTCAAATCGATACGTATGTAATGCTTTTCGTCATTTCCGCAGATTCCGCATTTCTTCATTTCTGCATTTCATGGTCGCAAGCTATGAACGCGGCCTAACTTATATGAAGATACAAAAAAATGCTGCAACACTATTCTAAAGGGTGCGAGGAATCAAATGGAGCGGTGAAGGTAGAGATTTTCGTCCATACTTATTGTCAGAGAAAGATTTTCGTGGCAGATGAAGCACTTTGCCTACACCCTTCCCCCACCCCGAGAACTTCCCCGAGCTTAGGACTCAAGCTTTTCCTGACTTCTGGTTCCTGGCTTGTCAAATAGTTGAAGTTTCTTTCCCCCAAAGTATTATGAGCTGAAACGGATGCAGAGACTTCTATTTTCCTTATTTTGCAAGAAATACGTGAAAGAGAGCTACGTTTTTTTTATAGAGCCTTTCCAGATTGTTACTCATACACGTCATTTACATTTCGGTCCCTTCGCCTTCTACCGAGCTGAAAAGTCAGGAAGGATTCAAGATTGCAACTCAAGAAACGAGCATCCCTTTAAGACCATTCCCTTGAAAGGCAGTTGGACGCTGTTCCTATCTCAGCCCAAAATCTAGTATGGCGCTGTAATAGTGTGGAAATGGCGGAAAGAACGATTAAAGGGTCAAAAGTCTCTATCGAAAAAATAACCTCGCGGTTCCTTATTTTACTGGTAAATCGATTCGGACGATTGTGCCGTAAGGCATTCTAAACCAATCACCGCTTACCGAAGATACGGCTGCATATGTTACTACATGGTATCATGCAGTCATCACCGCTTCATTATCCAGTCTCTTTGCTTTATTATATGCTCAGGCAAATGAACATAATAGCGGAGCGGTCCAGAACTGTCCGTCGGTTTGTGGGCGGCGGGCAGGAAAGCGGTTTGAGGGACGTAAAGTTGTTGGCTCATATTGAGGCGTTATAGGGAGTACCCTCCTTGGAAAAGGCTTCACGCAGCGCCTGTCCGAGGTCACGGAATTCTGTTAAGCCAGTTGTACAAATCCTACACCTGTATAAGCGATTTATCGTGCCAACTGCCTTTAACAGTGTTTGCATTTATATCAGCTCCAAATTTTTAATCATTCAAACTTTGGTTTTTTACTATTTAATTTATTAGTCATAGCGCAATTAAACTTAAGCTGAATAATGTGAGTGCAGGTCACTGACATTAGTTTGCTTTCGTATATTTTCTTCGATATTTTTTATGCCTGAAACCTCTGTTTTTAGGAAGGCGAAGTATGAAAAGCTCAAATCTGGTCCTCCAAAGCACATGTTCGATGATCCTGACTATATGAGACAAAAGGAGACTATAATAGAGAAGACTGAAGAAGCATTCGAACAAGGTCTGCTACTGGCTACCTTACTGGGTATCTGAGGCTGAGTTCATTCTTCGCGATCCGTTCGCGCCATTCAAATGCTCGAACGATACGATCGCGCCGTTGAAGTGCTCAAAAATTCCGATCGCGCGGTCGCGGTTCAAGCGATCAGATCGCGAAGTATGAACGAGTTAATTAAGTCTTACGCCACATTGTTGTGCATTTTCCTAGGTCGTTTTCATTGCAGGTTTTTTGGAAGCTTTAAAAGCTGAACGTGAGAAGAAGGAAAAACCTGTAGAGTCTTCGTCGGATTCCGATTTTGATATTGATGACTTACCCGGCGGTTTAAAAACTAAGCGGAAACGAAAGGCGACGCCCACTTTTTCGGAAGTTGAGCAGAAAAAGAAGAAAATGCAAGTTTCTATTGAATTTCCAGTTCTTTGCTTTGTGAAGTTGCCGCAATTTCAGGGAGGACGAGGAAGATGATTCCAGTTCCGATTCAGAGGAAAATGATGTTGATCCTGAACTGCTCCGTGAAATCCAAGACTATTTTGCAGCCCAAAAAGAGGAATGTACGACATCAAAACAGGATGACAACACCACTACTTCAAGCCAGAATGGGAAATCCACTGCGCTCGAAGGAGAAAATTCGTGTGTATCGGAAAAAGGCGACGGCGCTACGGAAAATGTAGGTTTCTGGACACCAAGGTGTTCGGGATGGGAGGGGGGGGGGCACGCGGCGGCGGCTAATATCACCTAACGAGCAGAGAAAGCGCACGTGACACCAGCACAATGAATTTCTTGAATATTGGAAGGTTCAGGTTCACGGCCGTTGTGAAGGTGAGGGTAGGTAAACGAGCCTCCGTCGCGTGCCTTCACCAACTAATTTGCTCTTTTTTGTAGTACTTCACCTTTGCACTTCTAGGCATGCATGAACGTGGAGCAACAGCCGGAGCCGGCTGGGGAGAAACCTCCGGAGCCCGCTGGGGAGAAACCTCCGGAGCCGGCTAAGGAGAAGCTTCCGGAGCCGGCCAAGGAAAAACCTTCGGAACCTGTGGAATTCCCTGCAGTAGATCTATCGCAGTATGAAAGCCCCGATCAACTGGAAACGCTCGGGCTCAATCATCTCAAACATGCTTTATTAGGTATGTACAACAGTTTTGAGCTGACCACATAGATTTAGATGTTAATGTTCTAACTGTTACCAGTAATAAAGTAGCTTCAATGCTGTACCAATTGTGTAATTAATTTAGCTCGAGGAATGAAGTGTGGCGGCACCCTTCGACGTCAGAGAGAGGAACGAGTATTGTGTTTGCGCGGACGAAAGATACTTTTTAAGATGATGTGTATGCATCATTAAGTGTTTACATATGTGTTTATTGTCGATACTCGTGGTTGTTGTAAATAAACAGATTAATAAGAAACCTTCATTGATTGTGAAACCTTGGTCAGAAATCCACAGATTTTTTTCATGATTTTGTTACTGCTATTAGAGCCTGTCACTGTAGTAATGACGTGCCAGGAATGGTTGTGATAAAGAAGATGAAGACGAAAAAAGCTGTTCTTCAGAAGAGTGCACATCAAGTAGGTCTTCCTTTTTGTCCTGTTTTTCTACGTACCCTTCTTCATGTCTTGAGTTACTGGTGCTTGGAAAAGGTAGATGATATTGCTGCCGATCGAAAAGGAAGGTCTGGCGCGGAGAAACTTCGTAATCAAGTCTGACTCTAGTGCACGAGCTTTGAACGAACCTGAATGTTCTCGTCAACAGGTGTATCGCAATGGGGAGAATGTTTGCGATGCAGATATGAAGTATGTTGTAAAATTGAAGAATGCGCGTTAATACATTGACGACAGCGTGATACGCATTTAATGCGCGCTTGTGGGCCACGTGGGACCGCGCGAATTGTATACGAATCACGATCAACAAATCCATATCTTTCCTAGTGCATGATTTTTTGTTTAGTTTCTCCTATTCATTCTATAGGCCAGTCCGTTAGTATACCCGTACGTGATCCATGGAATAATTTAGTACACACAAGTTTAGCAAAGATTTCCTGTGGAAAGAGCACTATAAGCTTGAATTGGTTTGCTCCTCAACTTTGGATTGGTTTGCTGTTTAACTCTTTGCCAACAAATACAGACAATTACAACATTGATAATGATGAAAAAATATAAGGTGAAGGATTCTGAATCCTATAGAAAGCACGATTTGCGTTTTTTATGAAAAAATTGGTTACAGACAAATTCCTGGCCCTGGTGCAAAGAGAGTTGGCCAGCCCAGATTTTTCCATAGTAAATAATTGACTTACTTCACAATTGCTCTCTAAACCAGGTTTTTCGATCCAATCTCCAAAAAGCGCTTCGTGGGACGGCTTGAATTGTATGCGTACCGCGCTTGTGGCGTTCAAGAAAGCGCGCGTGTCCCACGAGGCCGAAAAGTAAAAACCTGCGTTGTCATCAACGTGTTAAAACATCACATAGGACTGGATCGAGTCTACCCGTTGCGATGGTAAAATAGAACATACGCACTGTCGACTGTCAGCAAAGTGATTACGCTTGACACCAAGGTTGTTAACGAATCTTTTTTCGGCTTTCGACATCGTCGCCTTCTTCAGTGCCTGGATTGTCGAAAGACATTTCGGAACTACTCGTCCATACACTATTTCAACCTGCGGAAGTTCAAAAGGGTTGTAAACTACTATGATGACGTCAAGAGAGCAAAAGATCTAACCTGCACAGCCACTGAGGAGCATGCCAAGATTCATAGAAAGCCGCACATGGAACACGAAGCAACTGCGCGTTTTAGAAACTAGGACGATCTTGAATACAGTTCCTGACTGCTTGTCTTTCGGTTCTTCAGTGTCGCGAGTGAACACGACCCACCTGATGTCGCTCCAGAGTGTCTGTGGTTTAGCCGATAGTTAAAGGGATAGAGGATGAAGTCTTCGCCGCTGATCGATCGTAGTGGCTTATTGAATGCGATGTGGCCTATACAATGACTTGCGGTGGCCAGCCGATGTACAAGTCAGTGTTTTATCCTCCCAGACGAATCTGGTACCAATTTACCGTCCCCGGAGGGTAGAAGGCTTGGTTGGCCTGGGCGGGAGTCGACCCGGGATTCGAACCCGGCGCCGCGCGAGTGGTAAGCGCGCCACTTGTCACTACACCACCTCCGCCTCAATAGGGCATTGTATAGGCCACATCGCATTCAATAAGCCACTACGATTCTGAATGGAAGTAGAATGCGTGCCGCATCCCACAAAGGGATTGATCAACGGCGAAGACTTTATCCTTATTATTATTATGACTACGTTTCGGAATAAGTCCTCCCTCAGGTCACTCAATCTTAAATCAAACAGCATATACCCTCACAATATTACAGCATTAATAGAGTGAAGATAGCATGTAGAAAGGGGAAGGAGGAGAAAACTCTTTCAAGCCTCCCTACAGAGCAGTAACTGACAGAAATAAAAGTGGAAGGATTGGGATCATTTATAAGGGTGCGGACAAGGGTGATCTAGCATTCGTCACGTATGTCTCCATTGTGCACGTCTTATACTGATAACAAACTCATTGCCACTTTCATCTCCTCCTTGCTGTTGATGGGTGGTTCTTGTTGCTTTATTTCCAGTGCCTCCCTGATCTTTCTTTCAACTGGATCTACCACATTTCTGTGTAGGATGGAGATGCGAAGTTCCGGCGGTCTTTCTTGAGCGTGCCTTAGTGTGCGGTGTCTCGAGAATGGGTTCTCCGGGTAGCTCTGTGGGCTCCGCAAAGCTCTTGAGTGTTCTTCCATTCTCTGAAGTGGCCTCGATGTTTCTTCTATGTAAAACTCGTGACATGAAAGGCACACTATTTTGTACATCACACACTGCACACATTTAGCTCTTTCTTATCGACTCTCATATGGGCGAGATGATGTTAAAAGTCGTCATGAGTTGAGAGGTGGTCGAAATACCAGGCTTATAGCATACGTGACCAGTTCTAAATCACCCTTGTCACGCACCCTTATAAAGGATCTCAATCCATCCAGTTTTAATTCTGTCTGTTACTGCTACGTAGGGAGGCTTGACGGAGTCTTATCCTCCTCCTTCCCTCTTCTACATAGTGTGGGTTGTTGCTATTTTCACTCTATTAATGCTGTAACATTGTAAGGGTGCTGTTTGATTTAAGATCGAGTGACCTGAAGAAGGGCTTATGCCCGAAACGTTGTCATATAATAAAGATTCAGTGAGCAGAAGAGAATCGTCGTTCTATCGCTACACAATGACAATGAAGCTCAGGGAGCAGGGCACATCATTGGTTGGGGATTTTAGTCGAGTCTGTACGACCCCCCCCCTCCCTCCTTTTTTGGGGCGTTGGTACGACCCCCCCACTTTTCCGGCCCTCTGTTCCTCCTCATCGAATC